TGCTACATTTGTCTGTTAAACTCATAATTTCAATTGACTTTGGTGGTCCGTTGAGACTTGTGGTTGTATCTGTACCGAGGCTTCTTGCCATAAAAAATCATCAGAATTATTCTGAGAATAAGAGCATTCGTAATTGTCATCATTTGGAAATTCTACAACAGGTTGGTCTTGTATACACAAGTTAAACATAGCCTGTTCTGCGTTTACACCAGGTCTGTTAAAATTTCTACCTTGAAAATTTGGTTGCTGATACGTCTGTCTAGTTGATGTACTTATCGGAGTAGGCCTTGGCAGATTATTGATCTGATTAGGTCTAAAAACGTTATTATTGTGAAAATTCGTTCTATTCTGATTAGGATTATTTGGTCGTACATTATTAGGACTAAATTGTCTTTGTAATACTGGACGCTGTACCGCTTGGTATTGATTCCTATAATTACCAAAGTTGTTGTTCATATGGCGAACTAATTGCATATTATTTCGATTAACATTTTTATGTTTATCTACCTTGTGATCAAGCTGAAAGTCGTTAGTTAATATATTCAGAGCTTCATTCAAGTCTGTAGGATTTTTCGTCCTCATGAGCGATCCTAGAGGTTCCTTTAAACCTTTTAGAAATACTCTTAATGCTACGCTTTTGCAAAAATTACATATTATCTGAGCTTCTTCACTCACACAATGTATAGTTAAAAATGATATTTGTAAATTCAATAAACTCTGAACTTTGTTATAAAATTCAAAGGGGGTTTCATTGTTCTGTTTTAATTCACACATTTCTATATTTAGAGTAAATACGTCACGCTTGTCTTGATATGTATTTAAAAGTGCAGTTTTCAAGTCTGTCCAATTTTTTATAATATTGCTACTAATATTTAAAGCTGCATTACCTTTGATTTTCGCTAAAATACTACTCATAAGATATTCGTTCTGGAAGTAATTTTCATCCTCTAATCTATAAAATTTATTCACTAACTTTTCGCAAATATCTATGAATCTTGGTAATAATTCTTGTTGGCCATAAAATTCGGGTATCATGTTAAGATACTCTGGGCGTAATGACATGCTTGATTGATTTACTTGACTGTTGTTCATATTGACTGTACTATTTAGTATACTAGGTCTTAGTTGCAAATTCCTTAAACTATGTTGGATATGTTCCGGATCCGACTGTGAGTCCGAATCTGTGTCACTCAATGTATCATCAAACAGCTCTTAATTGTTTTAACCCCTGTAAGACATTCGTACTTACAGTAGTAATCCAATCCGTCCCATGTGTCCGTATGCCTGGGCCACTGCTGGGTTGCCTGTCCTGGAGCAGATGTTCCTTCTGTCCTCTGGGCTGCTGTCTTCTTGGTTTCTCGATTTGGGTAGGGTTCTATCCGAAATCTGGTTCCGGTGATCACGGTAACGATATCGATATTCCGTCGGATCGTTCGCGACCAATCGCGGTTGGTTTCGTTATAGCCAGTAAACCGTTGAGACGAACCGAAAATGTCCTTTTTTCGTCTGGCTATCCTACTGCTTGCTGCGCCACTCAAATATCTTTTTTCAACGAAAACGTTTTTAAAAAGATTTATTTTTGAGAAAAACCAAATACAATGATGTTAATTGAATGAGTTCTGAATCGAGACTGACTGCAAAGTTCATTATACAAACCAAAGTAAAGAACAAATGAAATACAATACTGAAACTGATAAGAAAGGAACGTGGAGGCAAAAGTCCTTGTTCAGCATATTCTTCTCTGTAGACTGGTACATAACTTGTATATACCCAGCAGTTTAAATAAAAATCAAATTCTGTACCTCAGCCAGGTTAGGTTAAGTTCATCTTTGCCTAAAATGAGTCTTACACGTTAAGTTCATGATAAAGTTAGGAGTTGTAATTTGATACTTGTAACATCTATCTACCTGTAATGATAAGTGAATTATGAATGCAATAAAATTATATTAAAATCACTTATTAGGGCTTAGCCTAGTCTGACTTTGAGGGAACTTCAATTTTCAACATAATGGGTCTTTTCCGCTTATCTAGTTGTTTAAATTGTTTGGTGTTTGTTTAACAGGAAAATAGTACCCTTGATGTGTCACAATTTTCTTTTATTTTCCCATTCGTAATTAATCAAGGAATTTTATGTCATAAAGTTTTTTTGATTTTACTTCATGCTGCAACACTATTTTTCTGTTTACTATCTGTAACACTTCATTTTTGGTAATCCTACAGGACTACCAAAGGTCAAAACAACAACATAAACTCTAGCTAGAACTGCCAGCATGCCGGAAATCTAAAGCAGGACATACAAGTGCCATATCGAAGAGAACATGATATTATCGATATCAAGTAGGCCATACAGGTGTCCTACAATTGTAGAAACGACTGACGATACGGGCCTTAGACTCTCACGTGCCCTCGTATTATAATGTGTGTTGGTGTTTTCGTTTTGTGTAGATTTTGTTTTTATGTGTGAAGAAGACGCACTTATAAATATGAATGCTTGGTAGAGTCATGATGTTACTTACTACTTATAAATATATTTGTGTAGGATTTTCTCTATTTTTTTACAGTGAAGCGACTGCGCAGGCAAATCCTAACCGACAGGGCACCACGGCTGGTAGGAGGAGCTTAAAGGAACTTTGTTAATCCGATTTTTGAACTGTCCAAGGGTTGTAGAACTGAGAAACGCCTCCTCATGAAGAGTGTTCTACAATCTCGATACCCTAAGAACAAAGAAGTCGTCGTATCGACCAGTTCTGGATGTACGAAATTCGATACAGGTCTGTCTGAATATGGTAAATATAGTCGGGGTGGCAGCACCCCAAACTTATGAGCAATACTCAAGGTTAGGTCATGTGAAGAAAATTAATTATTAGCCCTAAGCAAATAGCCTAACTCTTTACCAGCAGCAGTCACTATTGACGAGATGTGTTTGTGCAAAATCAAGTCCTCGGTGATTTGGACTCCGACCAGCCGAAATGAACGACTTTTCTGAGGATGTTGTAGATCAATCAGATTATTCTCTTCTGTTAAACAAATGCTCTAGAGACTGAACTTGACTGACTTCAAATTATGATGTATAGGGAATGACACATCTAGCAAAGCCGATTCTGATAATCAAAACTGAGCGTTCGCTGCCCCAAAGTCGTTCCATTGACTTTTGCTTTGAATTTTCTGTCAGTCGATATAAGCCTCCTAGACCTGAATAAAATATTTTTTCTCAAGAAGTCTAATGTCTAGTGTATCGACAGCTTTCGATGGGTCAAATAATATACCCGCGATATATTTATTCATATCGAGCTAATTATAGATCATACACAGCTGTCCCTATTGAATACAGTTTCCTAAATCCAGGCTGTGAGCTTGGTATTGGATTGAATTTTCCAACGTATCGCAAAATTCTTGACTGAATCGCGTTTTCAATTACGTTAGAAAAAATGGAAAATAGTGATATGGGGTGTAGTTATCAACTTTAGTAAGTTCTCTCCTTTTTGAAACTATTGTTGCACGCCTCAGGGGTTTAAGGAGGCGTGTTGATTACAGAATTGAAACGACCTACAATTTCATTTAAAACGCTTTTAGTTACATGAGTAGTTATACTGTCACTACCACACGATTGTTTATTTGGAAGGTTGGATTTGATTGATTTCACTTCTTTATTTGGTTTAAGCTTCTTGGTTAAGCCACTGTATGCCACATTTCCAAAAAGTAGTATGCAAATCTTTGTATTTTCTGTCGATTAGTTACGTTAATATAATACCATAAGAAAATATTCAATTAATGATCACATATGTTCTTATTTTCTAATATCTAAAACTGCAATGCCAAAATGACGTTGACTTAGGCCCGTATCGTCAGTCGTCCCTACAATTGTAGGGCTCCTTTATGGCCTTCTTGATTTCGATAATATTACGTCTTCTTCGTTAACGTACATGTATGTCCTCCTTTTGATTTCCGACATACTGACAGTTCTGGCTTGAAGTTGTTTTGACATTCAACACACATGACAGCAGAACGATAATTTATAATTTTCTTGTAAATAATATCGATCACTCAAAAATACCTCGCTACATTGAACAAATTCCACAACCTGTGGTATCTTCAACAAATTGTTGAGCTAGGAAAATTAATCCACATGGATATATTATATTATAATATTATATTTGCGTTTATGAAAGTCCAGAAGCTTACAACCAAGCTATTCTCTTGATGGAGGTTGGTAAGTTACAAAACAAATCATATTATATACTTATCGCATTGTTTTCAGGTGTGATTCATTCTCACAGAATTTATGAGAAGCTGCTTCCTCAGTAAAATGCTATGTTTATTTTGGAAGGATAAGGAGGTGAATGATCTTTCTAAGAAGGAATTTATGCATCCAGGCATAATTGAAGGAATCTTACAGAAACAAAACGTGAATTTGATTTATGTGACCGATATGTGTTACACTGCAATTTGTTAATTAAAGCCTGGCATAAACCTGTATGATTATAGTCATAATGATAAGAATTAACACTTACGAACTTGAAGACAAGCTGCGCTAAGCAAGTATGTATAATGTGTAAAGGTCCTGAAATTGAGTCCATGGTAAATTGACAATCATGATTTCAGGATATTAAAAAGAGCATCGGCATGTAGGAGCAACAATTATGAGACATTACAAGGTGTAAATGGGAAAATGGAGTTGCATCATGAAGTTAAATTCTTCATTACTTTGTACCATCATGGCAGAAAATTCCACAACTAATTACAAGAAAACTGTGGGAATCAATTCCCTGCTTAAGGAATGTCAAACATTGAATAGGACTGATATTTGAGGTGCTCGCCTTGTTTTACAATATTAGCCTTGTGGGCATATATATATATATATATATACTGATATAAGCAGAAAAGGCTTTTTTTAAATGGGAGGCAGTAATGAAAATGTATCGTATCAAAACTTCAAACTCTCAATTTCAATTATTTGAATGTTCTGTGTATATATTATGTGTATAAATTGTGGTTTTTAGTTCCTGTTGACAATCCAGACTACAAAAGAAAAATATTCGTCAAAAACAAAAGCTTCAGCTGCTGACCATGATAAACAATACAGCAATGTGGTTGGAAATAAGAAAAATGAAGCAGTCAGCCTCAGGGCAAAAACAAAGCCTTGAATCGAATTGCAGAGAACTTCAATTTTCAACGTTTTCTAAAGAACTGTGTATGGTTAATGGAGATAATGAAAAATGCTTCTTTTTTGGAAATAATCTAACCTGTTTACCATCATTCAGAAATATATAATCAAGTTCAAACTGTCAATTTCAAATATTTGAATATTCTGTGTATATGAATTCAGTTTGGTTTGAAGTTGAACCCTGCTATGCATTAATAATAGACAAAAATATAACCATATAGTTAAAAACAATAAAACCAATCTGGTGAGCTATCAATAGAAAAAACTAGGCCTAGCTTTGCATTGATAAGAAGTTTAATTTCCAGTAGCAGCACTGATGTAAAAAGCATAATTTGGTATATGTGAAAAAAAGGAACTGTGATTTAATAATCTGTTGCAATATACCTTTCAGAGGAAAAACAAAACCTTTTCCTGTTTATTTTGGGAAATAAAAGTAAGATAATACTGAGAGACATAGTTGGCTGCTTACAAGCAGAGGATGTCTGATAGAATCAAATAAGGTCACAGCATTTTACTTTCTTGACAGTGTTGTACAACATATTAACGTGGTGCTTGACGATCCCTGTGATAGTACTTTTCTTACTTATAGAATTTAAATAGTGTAGACTGTCAACCTTTGGATAAAGGGGCAGATTCTTTAAAGAGCAAAATCCATTTTCATATGAAATAAGCTAATGGACAGTCTGGGTAGGTACGTCCAGTTGCATGTTTAACAAAAACTAACTCTTAAAAAATAAGAGGTCACTATGCACCAAAGTTAGTTAAAACTTTACGGTTATTCAGATATAAATACGTTTTCAGAGGCTGCTGGAACTCGAACAACTCAAAGAACGTTTCTTATTTATTAGATCGTGTTGTAAATTATACCTATTATACGCCAAAGCTAGTAAGGAAACATAAATAAAATTTTTCCCAATTATTTTCTAATCATAAAAGGGGATAATACATTTAAACTGTGCCCAGGAAGAATAAAAACATTGTATTAAAAAAGAAACACTGAAAAAAGAATAATAACATTTATTCAAACTGCTTTGCTACATATCAAGGGATATAGTTGTGGAAAGTAATTTGGAATTTTGTTTTCAATCCTGCTGTATGTTTTTGCCAGGTCAAGCCATTAACAAGGGTGAACCTGAGGTTCATAACAGGATTTTTTCATTGTATATACATTGTATATTTTCGATTGATTACTTTTAATCAAATCAGCCATCGTTCCGCCCACTCTAGTACTTCCTCCTTTGCATCTTGTAATCTGACGTGAATCAGATTACCAGTACTTGACTGGCGCAGTGTCGTCAGCATAGAGGTAGACTTCACACCACAGTTGTTGAGTAAAAAGCGAGGAAGGACCGAACCTTGAGAAAACGTTAAATTTGGTCTGAAACTTCCTTCGACACAGGATGTTAGTAGTTGTTAGAAGCGAAAAAGAGAAACAATTTTGTATTAGTTTATAGAGAAGACCCGCATGCCACACGTTGTCAAAGGTTTTTGAGACATCCAAAAGCAAGATGCAGGTACTCAAGTTGAGGATGAATCCTTTGGGTACATGTTCCACCAGCCTGACTGCCTAAAGCTCGGTACTTATGCTTCGACCGAGAGTCGAATTGAACGTTACGAATCAAATGGTTATCTGACGAGAAAGAAAAGATTGGCTTCATACGAAAAGTAGGGATGGGCAAAGATAACTTGTCATTTGGATAACCGGTTTCTTACATCGGCCTGTTCAACACGTTATTTTATAATGTGCTGTTATTAGATCAGAAAGTTCAATTTCTTTTCTTACTGTAATGCATATAGGCATCCTGGATATACCCCCGTATTCATATTTCAATCTCCAATACTTACCACCTTCCCCTCTGAACCGACGTATAAATTTGTCAATGCAAGTTTTAGAAAAATATCCGATTAACCCACAACTGGCTTTTTATCAATAACCGCCCATCTCTATCAAATAGGGTAGGACATGATATTGCATCTCTTTGAGGCTATGCTGGTTTCTTTGTTTCGTCCCGTGCCCCCTCCACATTCGCTCTTGAGTCAACCGATTTTAACATCAGTTCAAATTTGAAATTTGTAGTCGTCTTTTTATATCGTATGCTTATTGCACTGATAAATATAAGTGAAAATGGCAGAACGTGATTTATTTGAATCGGGTGAGCACTCCCAGAGGTCCTCAACCCCTCTACTTCATTTACCAAGGAGGTATATTCGTGCTAGTTCGAATCCGCTGGAGCATTATAGGGACCAAGAATTTCAAAAACGCCTTCGATTCACAAAGGATTGCGTGGTTCACGTTCTCTATCCTATGGTCTACTTGCATTGCTCGAAGATACATCCCATCCTGAGAAGCCGAGATCACAAGATACTGTTGCAGGAGAGAATAATTCTAGTGTAAGGCACGTTATTAGAGGAAAAAGAAGAGTCGATATATTTGAATTGTTTGTCCACACAGTGTTTTGTTTGTAGAGCTTCTAATTTTGAAAGTAGCATACAATATTGTTAACATGATGATGAAACATTTGTTTTAAGAGAAAAGAAGAATTACAAATTGATGAACTCTGTATTTACATATATTTCTGAAAGAACCTATTATATATCTAAATAAATATTGATTTTGCCATTGATGCTTTTATTTACAATCCACAAATACTTGCCATCTGAAAAGTGTAATACATGAAATTGTTCATGAACTCATACGTAGTATGTCAAAACGTAAGTAAGGTAAAGTCGCCTAATATGAGACCCATTTTGGAAAACATCTATAATTTCTGTAAAAATAACAAATTTTAAGTTATTACTGATTTGTTTTATTGGTAAGGGTTTATGCTTTAAAAAACACGGAACGAAAATGTACTTTTTTATTTATTTTTTCAAATAAAGCTACAATACTCATAAAATGTAAAAAGTAACTAAAAAAAATTGGGTTCCTAATATGAGACCCTATAAATTTCTTTCCAAATAACATTATTTAGAGTAAATAGACCATAAAAATACATTATATAGTTACTTTTTCTGTCTTTTTTCACACATTGGCACACAAAGATAGGATCTTCTGCACCACAATCTTCATGGCCCATCTGTAGCACACTGTACACCTAACCCACTGTTCACCATGCTTGTCTGCAGAATACATGCTTGTGCAGAAGAGGCATTCTGCGTCATAATTTTCGTCACCATCACTCTCATCATCAACAACAACTTCTCCCAAGTCATCGCTTTCATCAGTTGAGCTGTCACTTAAATCGGCCCTCTTCTTTTTAAACCGTTTAGTACTTTTTGGTTTGCGAAACTTTGCTTCCCTTGCATCGTCAAACTTAACCTTCTTTGTAACTGATGTAACTTTGCTATGTTTTGCGGAATCTTCCTTTTACGTTTCTTATCCAAACTTTCTATTAAATCATCTTTGTAAGGAGATGAGGTAATCAATGCTGCACTGCCTGCACGAGCACTGGGCTTCTTGCTCTTTATTTTGGGAAGAGGTTTTATCTGCACTGGACTGACAAGCTTTGTAGGTTCTGAAAGGTATTTGACGGCTTTACGAGAACTATTTACAGCCCCCTGATCATTGGACTCTTTTGAATTTCCCGGCCGTGGATCATCTGCGGCATCCTCAATATCGCTAGAATCTTTGGAAGTTCCTGGACGGGGATTATCTAAAGCTGTTTTAATGCAACTGATACCTTCTGATTTTCCTGAAGTATATTCAATGTTTCTAGATTCTGTGGAAGATCCCGGTGGAGGACGACTTACAGTATCTTCAGGGACTGTTAATTTCTCCTCAACTTCGAACACTGAGAAATCATGATTTCGGAAAATATTTCTATTAAGCGGAAATAGTCCCGTTGTTCTAAACGAGTTCACCGAAACCTCCATAGTGGCTGCTCTGTTATATGCAACTGAAAATAGTCTTGCAATGATAAATGGCGTGACAATACGATCAGGGTTGTTTCGCAGCCAAGTCTCAATTTCCTGAGCATAGTACGTTTTCAGAGGCCCCGTGAATCCTACATCCAACGGTTGCATGCGATGTGTGCTGTGGGGAGGTAGGCAAACAATTGATACGTGGTTTTCTCTAGCTTTATTTATTACGTCTATGTTACGCGTATGGGAGTAGTGTCCATCGAGCACCAATAACACAGGATCTGATGGTGTTGGCTTTGTGAATTTAATAAAATGGTCAAACCATTGTGTAAATATTTCGGCTTGAATCCATCCAGAAGGGTGACATGCGTAAATGGAACCGGTTGGCGCACCGTCCATCAATTCAATTTTCATATTTTTTCTAGGCCACACAATTAAAGGCGGTACGTAAGTTCCTACGGCATTCATGCATGTCACCACTGTAATAAGGCCTCCCCTTTCAGCTGATGTAAGTGTTGCTACTTGCTTTTTACCTTTAGCAGAAATGACCTTACTTCTTTTATGTTGCACCACACTAATCCCTGTCTCATCCACGTTAAACAACCTTTGTGGTGCAAAATTGATTTTCGATAATTCCTTTTCGTACCAATCGAAGAATGAAGCAACGCTTTCTTGATTGAATCCCCGTATTCTGGCATTGGACATGCCTTGAGGTGACCTAACAGACAGCTGGGGATTACGTTTGAAAAATCCTCTAAGCCATTTTTTTCCTGCAACGCCTTTTTCCTGTGAAAATGGGTGCTGGATATTATTAGCAATTGCCAACTCGAAGGCCATGCGTTTTACATCAGATCTTCGCAGACCAAAAAACCTATTATCCATATCGAGACAGTATCGAACTAGCTCATCCTCGATAGCTTTTCCTAAAGCAGGTTTTCTACCAAGTGTTGTACGAACGAGTTCTTCAGGAGAAAAATTAATGATTTTAACATAACGTTCAAGGGTACCTTTCGGTACTTGAAAATGTTTCGCCGCTGTCTTGTAACCCATGACATGAGTTCGAACTGCTTTAATCGTCAACACCATTTGCCCCTTGTTCCATTGTTTGCGACGTTTAGAAGAACTCCCCTGAAAAAATTCTATATAAATATCGGGGTCCTAATATGAGACCCTCCTCATAATGGGAACCCCAGAGGGTCTCATATTTGGAACCAACAACACATTTAGAAAAAAAATTTATAGGTTAGTTTGTTGTATTTCGAATGGATAAAGAAAAGGTGGGAATAAGACTACATTTGTTGTACTACATACAAATCATATTACAAACCAAAATATACTTACCATGATGATAAAGTAAATATATAAAGGGAAAACGGTAAAAAACTTCACAGTACAAATTTTAACAAATCTCGCATTAAACAGCTGCTGTTAAATGAAATATTGCGCCATCTAGAGGAGAGGGCCCGTACTATACCACTAGTAACCTGTAAATCATATGAATGTGGGCTTACAGGACTCTACAGAGACGATCATCTAGGGTCTCATATTAGGAACGGTCTCATATTAGGCGACTTTACCCTATCACCAGTCCAATGATGAATTGATACCCAAAAGGTACAACTAATTACAGGAATTATGAATATGTAGCCAAAAAAAGCAATATATCAAAAATGAAAAACTACAACAGTGTGTCACAATAACCTTTATTCATTTTTAATTTACTTGCATAAAATATACAGGGTGTTTTCCAATTGAATGTCTATATTTAAGGGGGTAACTTTGAGTCCATTTTAAGAAGAATATTTCATATGACGTATATTTGAGAAACAGAGTGGTAAACTTTTCAAAAATTAATAAAAATGTTTGTAAAGATCTGGAATACCACCTTAAATACTTTATCAAAGTTTGGCATACATGTACATCAAGAGATATTTGTAATGCAACATTCTTTCAATTCCCAACAGTGGCGTTCGTATGAATTTCACTTGCCTATTTTGGCAGACAATGATAGTAGGCAACTGATTTCTCTTAAAATAAAAATTGCTCTTAAAATCATCAGTGATTTCTGAGCAAATTTTATGAAATTAAAATACTGTTTCTTTGCATGATCCTAATATCATTAGTATCACAATGTCACTATGTCTAAAAAAAAAGAATTTTCGAAAAGAATTTTTTTTAGTCAGACTGTAACGGTTTCACCGTCCGATCGTATTTATTAAATCACTTCTCGATTATCATTTCATTAATCCCATCTCTAGCTTTTTTACTTGGAAAATTTTCCGCTTGGACCGCTTGATGCGGAGTTCCTGATCTGCGATCTTCCTCGCGCTTCCTTTTCACTTGAGCCGCCGATCGAACAAGAGCTAAGAATTTTCTTCTCTGTAGCACAAGGTCATATAGCACCATGTGCTAGAATTTTGTAGAATGTGTGTCCGTATAGGACAAAATGATTGGGGCCACCCCCTTTCTCTTTCCCTTTCCCTTTGTCTTTGACTTTGCTTTTGCCTTAGTCTTTGACTTTGCGTTGCTTGGCGTATCACTTCACCCATGCATGTGCCTTGGCAGCGCCATCGCCTTTAAGTTCAACTTCGCCTACAACTGGTTTTGAAGCCACTATATGTGAGGTCACCCCTCATAACTGGGACCTCCACTTCAAGCACCTGGCCATCCTCGCTTCAGTCCAGTCAAAATGGACCAGCGAAAGATAAGTTGATAGTTTTATAGCAGCGCCAAAGATGTAAAACTTATTTTGTTCTTTAAAACTGTAAAATTGTAATGTAATGAAAATGCTTTTTTGTTAAATAAAATCTGTTAAATTTTTGTGTTCTGTTTGTTCTTCTATCCTCTAGCCATGCCATGGTCGACACACAGCTACACGCCTGTAGATGTCTTCATGCCACCGACTGAGCTACCGGAAGCTAATGCTAACCCCCTTTCTGTGATTGTGCAGAAAAGTTGGAATCTTCATTGCATTCCATCTTTTCTGGACTTTTTGCGGAAAGGAAGCGTCACAAGACCTATGATTTCCACCCAAAAAATAGAAACTATTTCGCTGCATGGTGATATTGTCATATTAACAATATTTAGAGTTTTTATTTTTATGAAAATCATACATCAGATTGAAAAACATTCAAGTGATTAAATTTGCTTAGATGATAATTTTTAATAAAAGAGACATCAGTGGCATACCATTACTGCCTGTCAAAATAAGCAGGTGAAATTCCTTAATAGCATCACTGATGGAAATTAAAGAAATGCCTCGTCACTCATGTACAATTCGGAAACACACTGAATTGCAGATCCTAGTATTACAAGAGGTAAATGCACACTTTTGAGCCAAAGATTTTTTTTACTGCTTCTATCATAACTAACAAACTCTGCTTTTCATATGAGTGTTTCAAATATCAAACCAGTTTAATTCTTGACATTCCAACCCGAAAATGCTTTCCCTTCAAATGCCATACTTTTAATAGATTTTCCCTTTTAAGGTAGGGTTCCAAATCAATTAAATACTTTTAGTATTGAGATTTGAATCTTCAATTGTGTGTACTCCCTGTAATACTTCATATTTGATAATCCTACATGGATATGGTATTTCAAGCATCCTGAAATAACAACGATAAATGGTAATTACGATCTTCACATACATACATTGTACATATTTGTAGCTTGACACTTCACATAGAGTCCAGTAATGATTTGTGAACAGGCATCTTGACATCAACAATGCAGTTGCATTCGGGATATGTTTGTTATCCATGGAGGAACCAACTTCTTGTAAAGTCTGTTTGAATGAATTACACCTGAAAATAATGCAATAAGTATATAATATGAATATCTCATGATTTGCTTTGTAACTTACCAACCTTCATCAAGAGAACAGCTTGGTTGTAAGCTTCTGGACTTTTATACAGGGAATTGATTCCCACATTTTTCTTGTAATTAGTTGTTGAATTTTCTGCCAAGATGGTACAAAGTAATGAAGAATATAACTTCATGCTGCAACTCAATTTTCCCATTTACACCTTGTAATGTCTCATAATTAGTGCTCCTACATGACTCAATTTCAGAACCTTTACACATTATACATACTTGCTTAGCACAGCTTGTCTTCAAGTTCGTAAGTGTTCATTCTTATCATTATGACTATGATCATACAGGTTTATGCCAGGCTTTAATTAACAAATTGCAGTGTAATACATCGGTCACATAAATCAAATTCACGTTTTGTTTCTGTAAGATTCCTTCAATTATGCCTGGATGCATAAATTCCTTCTTAGAAAGATCATTCACCTCCTTACCCTTCCAAAGTAACACATAGCATTTTACTGAGGAACCAAGTTCTCGTAAAGTCTGTGATAATGAATCACACCTGAAAATAACGCGATAAGTATATAATATGGATATGCAATGATTTGTTTTGTAACTTACCAACCTCCATCAAGCTTGGTTGTATGCTTCTGGAGTTTCATACACACAAATATATTATAGTATAATATATTCATGTGCATTAATTTTAGTAACTCAACAATTTCTTGAAGATACCACAGATTGTGGAATTTGTTCAACGTAGCGAGGTATTTTTGAGTTATCGATAATTATTTGCAAGAAAATTATAAACTATGGTTCTGCTGTCATGTGACTTGAACGTCAAAGCAACCTCAAGCCAGAACTGTCAGATGTCGGAAATCAAAAGGAGGACATACATGTGCGTTAACGAAGAACACGTAATATTATCGAAATCAAGAAGACCATAAACGCGCCCTACAATCGTAGGGCTCGTTGATTGTCATACTCCTTTCTCTCCTTCAAAAAATTCTAGATTACACTTGTCCCGTGTCAGCGTCAGCGCTCTCCTATTATGAAGATATGTTTTCTTTTTAAATTGTAGGAAATTTGAGGCTGATAAAACATGATATAACTCAAAAGCAAGCACAATTTGATGCAAATAGTTGTTTGTGACATAACCTCAAAATAGAGCGCTGACACGGACAAGTAGAAAACTATGACAATCAAGGAGGCCATAAAGGCGCCCCACAATTGTAGGGACGACTGACGATACGGGCCTAAGTGCCGCATTTTTTGGGCACCCCGCTATGTCAACATCAACGTCATAACCCTCGATACGTCATTTGATTGTCTTTTTGATTCATTGGCTGTCGAGTTTCCAAAGGTTCTACTTTAGTCTTATTTAAGAAAAGGCAGACGCATGAATGAAGAACGGAAACATATAAGTACTGTACTTGTACATGTGTGCAAAAAGACACGATACGGAAAGCATTTTACCTTATTCGCCGAGATGCTAAGAAAAGTGGTGTAAATTTTGACAAAGAGAAAACATATCTCTAAAAATACATATTGTTGTGAAGGCCGTTTTAACGAAAGTACAGAACAGAAAACTACCATTTATAGAAGGTAATTCTGTAACACTAGATTCAACATTTTTTAAGTTTTTGGATTAAGCTTGGTTGATTTATTTCTATTACATTATGAAGGTGTTGGCAATCAATGCCAGTGAGAACAAAGGAATGCTATTCTAAATCGGACTGTCCGACTAGAGAAGGTTGGCTAATCACAAGTCGATTTAACCCGTATTTTCTCCATTTTTTATTAATCAATACTGGCATATTTGTAGCGTTCAAGTATAAAATAAGCTTAAAGGTATCTAGGCAGGAGTATAGTCTGTAATTAAAAATAAATAATTAACCGTTATTTGAATAATAATAGTAGTAGTAAAAATAGTACGTGTCTGCGCAATTCACAAGGCACACAACACACAACACAACATTACATAGATAAAAAAAATAAAATGAATATGTGATAAATAGAAACAAAATAATTCATAATCAAATGTTTAAGTGATTTCTTCAAGTGTATTCTAGTCATTAGCTTTATATAATGTGAGGGTGTCATCTGCAAAACATATAATCTTTCCAGTATTATTAATTTTGAATAAGTCATTTAAATAGAGATAACATAATAGTACCATGAGCACACCACACTTGATGTACATTTTACTGCATATATACCATTTTAATCACTTTCACTGTTGCTGTGTGTCAAAAATGTAAGATTTCATCCTTTTCTTAAATGTGAACCTACCCAGTCGTGCAAACTCACGGGGCATGTGTCATACTCTTAAGCTATTTGAAGCTACATTCATATAAAGTAGGGGAGGTGAAAAGG